CTATAGATTTTCGTGATTGTTACACACAAAATTATTCTTATAGGACTATACATATATTTGATCTACATAGTACACTGGACACCCCAACGTAACGATCTTGAAAAAAACTCAGTTTATATAACGATGAAAATCCAAGAACCTACTATTGTTTTAAACCATGTGCAAGTTACTGAGTTGTTCAGAGATAACCGTAATTTGCAACATTCCTTTTTAAAATGGATCATTCTTGCTTTGGAATCAAAAGACAAACAGGAACACGCCAACGATGATATCGAAAAAGAATTAGAAGTTTTAAAGCGTGAAATACTTGAAATTCAAATGGCTGGAATGATACACCAAAATGTGTACAACGAGAGCCTTGATCTTTTAAGCCAATGCAACACCTACAGGCAAACACAAGATTCTAACATACGAGACTGTGTGTTCGATAGAGTTTTTAAATCTTTAGATATGGAGGTTAACAGTGCCGAGAACATACTCTTTTATGTAAATCAATTGACGATTTCTCAGCGATTGGTGATACGTTTCATGGTTCATCAATTCATCCAAGCACAAGTTGCATTTATCAGGACCACCTCAAAGGCCCAGCAATATACAAAGCGCTCAGAATTAGAAGGATATCATTGCACTACAAATCCTTATTACAGTGATTTAGAAAAAACTTCAACGAAGCTTAAAGACGAGATCGACTCAAAGGAATCGTTGATTGCAAAGCTAAGTCAAGAACTACAAGAAATAAAGGTTCAAATGGTGCAACAACAACAAGGGCTTGAAAACGCGAAAAAGATTCTTGATGAGCAGATCGAGCAGAATAGTAAAATTTCAAATGAAAAAGAACAATTAAAAGAACATTTCAAGTCAGAACATGTGCATATGCAAAACGAATTAGAACGAATTAGACGGGAGGTCGAATCTGCCAGAAACGAAGCTGTTATTTATCAAGCCCAACTTGGAAGCGCCATTAATATTCGTTGGAGTGATGATACCTTTAACAATCCTATCCAGTTAACAAAGGAAATTGAAAAATTATGCCAAAAGGTCTATTACAGTAAGTAGTTTGTTACTGCTATTCAGAATAAAATGAAAATTTTCGTTATCTTTATATTTATATAAATTCCAATCCAATATATATTCCGCTTCAAGCTCTAAATTTCTTAAATCCCATTGTAAAATTGTAAAAGGTAGTTCTCGAAGAATCAATAATTTTCCTTTCGGAGTAATATCACATCTATAATATTCAGTGAGAACAATATTCTGCTCGAGTATCCATTCATATTTGTCATTAGAATTTGATCTCGAAAAAATGCCAACTAGATAATCTGGATCATTTGCTACAACCGCCAAATAATTATTTTTAGACGAAACAACATCTTCATAGAAAGTAATTTTGTCAATGTTCCCCTTAAAATTCAACTTGTGCTTTAATTTAGTTGTAGCATCAACAATTTCTATTACATTTAAAATAATTAATTTTAATTGGTGAGCAACAATGATTAGTTAAGATGCGTGTAATAAGGCTTACGATGTACATTTTCAATATCTAGGATGATGATATCTTTCTGATCTGAGACGTCGATTAAATCATTAATGTCAATGGTAATTATAGAATCAAAATTGAGTTGGCCTGAATCTTTGTCAACTGGCCACCCGCAAACTAAATTGTCGACCTTGCTCCAAGTTACAATATATTTCATATTTGACGAGCAGATAACTTTATCTATTCTCTTAATGATATTAGAGTTTTCTTTGGTAATATTATCACCGATCGGAATCATAATCTGGACTTCACTTTCCTTTGAGCCAGAGATGATCAGTTGTTCTTCAGATAATGATTCCGGGTTATTCATTTGAATACAGTATTGAAACAAAATCAAATGTATCTCAAAGGCACCGTAAAAAAACCTTTTTTAAACACATGAAATAAACTAATGTAATAACGATAAATATTCCAAGCCATAAAATTGCTGATAACGGTATAAACAAACATTAATTACCATGTTAGCCACAATAAACTACATATTTTACGTTCGAACATATTTATTTAACTAGATTGACACTTGCTATGCGCGGTGATTGTTTTATTTGTTACGTCAGGCTATGCTAATTGAAATTTTTTAGTGAAGCGACTTTTCGATCGTGACATTTTATATTGGATCATGTGATGAATCTTTCACAATCGGAGGACCAATTGAATCTAACAGTTTTTAAACCCTTATCGTTATGACAGAAGGCTCTGTAATAATCTATAATTGTAATACCATAATCAATATTATGGCTCGTTAAAAACAAAGTTTGAAATTAATTTCTTTTATTTTATTTAGTAAAGTTATACTATGTTTGTTAAATGTTGCACTACATTAAACGTGTACGTACGCACATTACAATTATAAGTTACATATAAGTTTATTTAAATTTTTGGTGTTCCGCAATGAATACTAGGGATGTTGAGCAAGATTTGTAGTATTCATTCAATAAAGTTATTTCTCTATAGCAGGCTCTAATAGAAGTTTGAGTAATTTAGATGGGTGGAGAAAATTTTGTTGATCGTATTTGACATGTGCTGTGATCAATAACTCTTATTTACACATCAAATAATATTTATAATTTTAAACTCATTTACAGCATCTTGATGCCGTCAGAGAATGAACTGAGTTTAAGATTGCTAACTTTTAATGATTTGTTGTTATTCGTTTAATTTTCCGACGGCATCAGGACACGAACCTAGCATAACCACCACGATCAGTTACGTACGGAGTTGGAATTAATTACCGAAATTTTAATGACGCATG